GCATTGTATTGGAATGGATAGAAGATTGGTTAACTAAAAGGAAGCAAACAGTGGAGATAAATGAGTGCTCTTCTGGTTGGCAAAAAGTGACTAGTAGTGTGCCTCAGGGATCAGTGTTGGGCCCACAACTACTTATAATTTACGTAGATGATTTGGAGTTGGGGACCACGTGCAGTGTGTCAAAGTTTGTGGATGACACCAAGACGAATGGTAGTGCAAAGTGTGCAGTGGACTCTGAAAGTTTGCAGAGGGATATAGATAGTTTAAGTGAGTGGGCAAAGGTCTGGCAGATAGACTTCAATGTTGATAAATGTGAGGTCGTCTATTTTGGTAGGAATAACAGCAAAAGGGACTACTACTTGAATGGTAAAGAATTGCAGCATGCTGCTGTGCAGAGGGATCTGGGTGTCCTCGTGCATGAATCACACAAGGTTGGTTTGCAGGTATAACTGGTAATTAAGAAGGCAAATGGAATTTTGTCCATTATTGCTAGAGGGATTGAATTTAAAAGCAAGAAGGTTATGTTACAGTTGTATAACTGGAGTACTGCGTGCAGTTTTGGTCTCTGTACTCGAGAAACGATGTACTGGCACTGGAGGGAGTGCAGAGCAGATTCACGAGGTTGATTTCAGAATTAAGAGGGTTGGCTTATGAGGAGAGGCTGAATAGACTGGGAATATATTCATTGGAATTTAGAAGAATGAGGGGGGATCTTATAGAAACATATAAAATTATGAAAGGAATAGATATGATAGAAGCAGGGAGGTTGTTTCCACTGGTGGATGAAACTAGAACAAAAGGACATAGCCTCAAAATTAGGGGACCAGATATAGGGCTGAATTGAGGAGGAACTTCTTCACCTGAAGTGTTGTAAATCTGTGGAATTCCCTGTCCAGTGAAGCAGTTGAGGCTTCCTCATTGAATGTTTTTAAAGCTAAGATAGATAATTTTTTGAATAGTAAAGGAATTAAGGGTTATGGTGAGAGGGTGGGTAAGTGGAACTGCTCCAGGTTCTTATGTTCTTATGACATTGAATATTTTTTGATAGTTTCCTAGTTGAGTACACTAGTGACTGTCTGTATGAAAACCTAAAGAACTGTGGATGCTGCAAATCAGGAAGAAAAACAAAAATTGCTGGCAAAGTTATTCAGGCCTGGTAACATCTATGGTAACTTACCTGAAATGTTAATTCTGATTTCTCTCCACAGATGCTGCCAGACCTGTTGAGCTTTTCTAGAAATTTCTGTTTTTGTTTCTAATTGTCTGGATGACTTGTTACTCAGAATGAACAGTCCCTATTCTTAATCCTTCAAGGCGATTGTATCTGGTGAAGCTTTGCAGATACGTGATCTTAATGGCTTTGGGATGGAGAAGATAAAGTGGTGCAAATGTGCATCCATCTTTGACTGATTTCAAGTAACTGGATTGTGACTTTGGTCTTTCTAAGAATTCAAATAATGATTCTCAACCTGTAAATTCAATAAAGTAATTTTTCATAAAGCAAGGTATCACAACAGTCTGGGGAAAATTGATACACAGATGCTGTTCAGGTCCATTGTACGCTGAAGGTGGCAACGCAGGTCGATAGAGTGGTCAAGAAGGCATACGGCATGCTTTCATTCATCGGACGGGGTATTGAGTACAAGAGTTGGCAGGTCATGTTACAGTTGTATAGGACTTTGGTTCGACCACATTTGGAATACTGCGTACAGTTCTGGTCGCCACATTACCAAAAGGATGTGGATGCTTTGGAGAGGGTGCACAGGAGGTTCACCAGGATGTTGCCTGGTATGGAGGTCGCTAGCTATGAAGAGAGGTTGAGTAGATTAGGATTATTTACATTAGAAAGACGGAGGTTGAGGGGGGACCTGATTGAGGTCTACAAAATCATGAGAGGTACAGACAGGGTGGATAGCAAGAAGCTTTTTCCCAGAGTCAAGGACTCAATTACTAGGGGTCACAATTTCAAGGTGAGAGGGGAAAAGTTTAAGGGAGATATGCATGGAAAGTTCTTTACGCAGAGGGCGGTGGGTGCCTGGAACGCGTTGCCAGCGGAGGTGGTAGAGGCGGGCACGTTAGCTTCATTTAAGATGTATCTAGACAGATACATGAATGGGCAGGGAGCAGAGGGGTACAGATCCTTGGAAAATAGGCGACAGGTTTAGATAGAGGATCTGGATTGGCACAGGCTTGGAGGGCCGAAGGGCCTGTTCCTGCTCCTGTGCTATAATTTTCTTTGTTCTTTGTTCTTAACATACATATATATATAATTCTCCCATGAAGCATCCTGGGAAGTTCATTACATTAGAGGTACTACAGCAAACGTTTTACAAACCAGCACCTATAGGATCAGGACTATGCCGGTTGATCAAATATTCCAGATAAATCAAGAGTTATGCACAACCACAGTAAACCCTGACCAAACGAAGCTTCATGACATCAACATCCCTCAAAAAAACTATGTAAAAACATCAACACACCTCCTAAAATCAATGTGAAAACTCATAGTAACTGATAGAAAAGTAATGCAGGGGGTATACACATCACTGTTATACCTTATTTACAGCATAAATACTCAGACATCAGGGTAGATTGTGGTACTTGAGGTATATAATTTTTGCTGATTTATTGACAGCGGCAATTGAAAAGGTACTAGCTAAAACAATGTTTGCTGTTTATTGATAAAAGTTGTAGAATTCTCAGCAATTTCAATTAACAATGTGTGATAGATCAGTTGAAGCTCTCAGGATGGAGACTGATTGATTTGTTAGCTAGGGCAATGAAGAGATAAGAATAAAAGAGCAAAGGTACAATGAGCAATGATCTAAGAGAATGGTGGAATGGGCTCAACTGAGTGACATGCGACTTTTCCTTTATTCCTATAATTCACAAGTTCTTCAACCTTAGCAGTTACGATAAGTTGAGATGTTTGACAGATTTTTGAATGTCGTATTAAAGAAAAGCTCAGCAAAATAATATAAACAGCCCTTGAGTCGCAGTGGTACTGTGTCCCAGGAGGCCTGAGTTCAAGTCCCGCCCCTTTGTCCTGTAACCACAAATTTTCTACACTAAATTAGTAAAGAGTTGACTAGAAGAATATAAACAGCCTTTAGTGAAGATTCTTGTGGCACACTGGCAGTGTCCTTGGCTCTGAAGCAGGAGGTCTAGGTTGAGGTCACCCCTGCTCCAGAGCAGGTTAATCAGAAGATATCTACCAATGGATCCTGGATAATTCACCTCCATCACTACAAGAAATGAAGGCAATTTGAATTCATATTCCAATTTTTGGGAGATAATTTATCATTTTATCAAGAATAGAAAATGACTTAATGGGCAGAATAAGCAGAATGGGCACTCTCTAAATTGCGTGCTTTCCATTTGAGGACAGTGTTGGAAGGTGAGATGAATTGGGCAGATATTTCAAAGAACAGCACGTGGTGGATGAATGAATTTCTTCTGTGTTTTTTTACATCTTATGATTAAAACT